CCCCAGCAGTAGAGTCCTGAGGTGCAGAAGCGCGACGCTGACGGCGACCGTACCAGTCGTGCAGCTGCTGGGAGGTGAGGGGCACACGCGGACGAAGACGGCTACTCCAAGGAGACCGCGTAACAGCAGTCTTAGAACCCTCGGGCGACTCACCCCCAGACTCAGCACCCCCAGACTCCGCACACACAGGCTCAGCACCCCCAGACGTAGCACCTCCAGACGCAGTACCACGAGACGCAGCACCTCCAGGCTCCTCACGCGCAGGCTCAGCACCTCCAGGCTCCACACGCTCAGCGCCCCCAGACTCAGCACCCCCAAGCTCCGCACCCCAAGGGACAGCACCACTCGCAGCAGGACCGGAGACACCAGTGACCTCAACAGGCGCAGGCGCAGGGGGGTCTACCTGAGAGACACCTGAAGGAGCAGGACCTGGCGCGGGGAGGGGGTCTACCTGGGGAGGACCTGGGGCGAGAAAGAGCGGCGGGGGGGGGCGAGGAGCAGTGCGGTAGGGGAAGAGGCGGTAAAAGGGGACGGGCTCGTCAAAGGTGACGTCCTGAGACGCAAAGACACGGCGCGAGGCGGGGTCGTAAAATTGCCAGCCAGGCGCGTCAGGGACAAAGCCAAGGAAGACGCAAGGAATGGCGCGAGGGGAGAGCTTGTCCGCGGTGGTATCGCGGACAAAGGCACGAGCACCCCAGACCCGGAAACGCGACGCATCGCCAACCTTCCCCGTCCACAGCAGTGTGGGCGAGGTCTCCGGCAAGGAGACACGGGGCCAAAGGTTGAGCTGATGCGCGGCGTACCGGACTGCAAACGGCCACAGAAAATGGGGGGCAGCCGCATGGATCATGGAGGTACGAGCGACCTCCATGACCAAGCCAATGCGGCGCTCAGCAACCCCATTCTGCTGAGGAGAGGCCGGAAGCGTGAAAGTCTGGCGGATGCCGTGCTCCGCACAGAAGGCTGCCAAGAGGTCTGAGGAGAACTCACCACCTCTGTCAGAGTGCAGACGCAGGACAGGAAAGTCCGACTGGAACCGCTCGCGGAGCTGGAGACGAGTAGCGCGGATCCAGGGGATCAAAACATCAGGGACATCCACCTTGCGCTGCAAGGGGAAGACCGTGGTGTAGCGCGTGTAGTCGTCGACAACCAGCAGGAAGTACCGCTCATGGCCCTGTCCACGGACGCGGGCTGGGCCCCACACGTCCAGGTGGAGAGTCTGCAGTGGAGCCTCTGTGGGAGGGAACGAGGAGGAGTGAGGAGCGGCGCGCTGCCGCCCCTCGACGCAGGGAATGCAGGGCGGCGCAGGCGAGGGAGGAAGGGGAGGCAGAGACCTGGGAAGACCAGAAACCAGGAAGCGGGAGTGCATGCTGCGTAGGCGAGGCAGGGAGGGGTGACCAAGGCGGTGGTGCCACAGGAGAGTGTCGTGCGACAGCCGGCGACACTCACACTGTGTAGCTACCTGAGCAGACGCGTGCAACTGGGGAGACAAAGGGGTGGAGCGTGACGCAGTGGTGAGGGTGTAGAGACTGGACCCTGGAGCACGAGCGAACGTGGCCAGGTGGCGACCAGTCTGGGAGCACGTGCAAATCGCCACACGCTGCCGGCCAGGGGTGAAGGTGTCAACCCCCGCATCCTGGAGGACAGCGTTACTCACCAAGTTCGTAGAGAACGAGGGGAGTTGGAGACCAGACAGCTCACCAGACGGGACAGCCGGACACTGAAGCACAGTGGAAGACCGTGCAAGCACTGGTCCCCCAGAGGGGTCAGCCAGTGAGACAGGAACAGGTGCAGGGAGGGGAGTGACTGTGGTACTGTCGTGAAAGAAACAGCGGGAAGCACCAGAGTCAAGTGTAAATGTGTGCAAAGCCTGTGCAGGCGCAGTACCAAGGGGAGCAGACTCACAAGCACCTAGTGTTGCAGGGGCTATACCAGGGGCTATACCAGGATCCGGCGGCACACACAAGTAGCAGTCACCCTCAGCACTAACAGACAAGGCATACATAGCAGCAAGAATTGTCTCATAGTCAAGATCAAAGATAGGTACATCACGCCTAAGCAAGTCTGCCCAGTTGGGGAACTCAGTAGCATCAGGAAACTTGGCGCGCCAGGCGTCGCTAAGCCGAGCGAAGCAGCGCTGCTCAGTGTGAAAACCTGTGCACTGGCGACCAGCGCGGGGACCTGTGCAGATGATATAGGGGCAGCGACCAGGACCCCCAGAAGCCCCACGCCCGGCATACCAGTCAAGAAGCTGCTGGGAAGTGGGGGTCTGGCGCTGACGCTGATGCTGCTGCTGCTGCTGCTGCTGCTGTGGCTGCTGCTGGCCCTGACCACCAATGCCACTACCGCCCCCTCCTCCCCCACCGCCGCTGCTGCCCCCTCCACCGCTCCCAGTGCCTCCGCCGCCCCCACCACCACCTCCACCGCCTCCACCCCCACGACCACCCCCACCACCTCCACCTCCCCCGCCGCCTGCACCACCGCCACCTCCACCGCCACCCCCACCGCCCCTGCCACCCCTGCCGCCCCTGCCGCTGCGACGCTTCCCACTAGGAGCGGAAGCAGCTCCGACCCCCTCAGCACCAAGGTAGTCGTGAGCAGCAGCTGCGGAGGCGTAGGAGGGGGTGAGAGGGGAGGGGGAGCACCCCTCAAAGAGGGGAGAGCGAGGAGTGCCACGAGCAGCACCTACAGCGAAGATGTTCTTCTCTGCTGCGAGGAGGTGCTTCTCGAAGTCGTCGACAGTGAGAGTGGTGGGGTCTAGCGCTAGGAAGTGGTCCCTGACAGAGCTAAGAGTGTCAGGGAGGCGGGTGACGAGGAAATAGAGAGTGAAGTACATCGGGGGGGGGTTTGCGGCGCAGAACTCGGCTGAAAGGGCGGCACGAAAGCGAGAGTCAGTAGCGCGCAAGTGAGAAACTAGGTCCTCAGCAGTGGTGAACGAGGAAAGATCGGGGAACAGGTACGGTAGCATGAGTCGACCTATGGCTGCAGTGGCCGGGGAGGAGTAGCGCGCAACTACCGCGTCATACAGTGTCTTAACAGTTCTGTGCTGGCTGAAATGCGCTCGCTCAGTAATCGGCAGGTGGTTCCTAATAGCTAGGCGTGCAGCAGCATCACGAGTCTGCCACTGGGAGCGTTCTAGAGTAGGAGCATCAGCAGCAGGAGGAACGGCAGTGCCAGAGACGTAATCAAACAGGGAAATGCCCTCTTTGGCATCAGTCAGAAGGAACAGCTGGAGATCGTCTAACCACACAGTGAACTCGATGGGACGACCGTCGGGCTCGAACGCTAGAACGTTAGGCGTCGCCATATTGGCAGGCAGGCGGCAGCAGGCAGCAAGCAGGCAGGCGGCAGCAGGCAGCAAGCAGTAGGCAGGCAGCTGGCAGGCAGCAGGCAGGCTGCAGGCAGGCAGGCAGGCGGCAGGCAGGCGGCAGCAGGCAGCAAGCAGGCAGGCGGCAGCAGGCAGCAAGCAGTAGGCAGGCAGCAGGCAGGCTGCAGGCAGGCAGGCAGGAAGGCGGCAGCAGACAGCAAGCAGGCAGGCGGCAGGCAGCAGGTAGGTAGCAGGCAGGAGCGGCCTGAGGGCTGCGTGAGACTGCTGGCTGCGTGTGGCGGCTTGCTGCACGAGGCTGCAGGTTGCACGTGGCTACGGGCAGCGCGCGCAGCTGCGGGCTGCTCGTGGCGACGCGCGGGCTGGCGGCAGGCTGCGTGGGCGGCTGGCGCGGCGTGTGGGGCCTAAAACGGGCTACACGGCGCGTGGGGCCTAAAACGGGCTACACGGCGCGTGGGGCCTAAAACGGGCTACACGGACGCGGCGCGCAGGGCCTAAGTAGGTTGCGCACGGGCGGCTTACACGGCGCGCGGGCCGGTGGCAGGCTGCGCGGGTGGCTAACGTGGCGCGCGGGGCCGAAAACGGGCTGCGCGCGGGCTGCTTAAGTGGCGCGCACGGAAAAAAAAAAGGGTCGCGCGCGTGCAGCCGAGGCGCGCGCGGGCAGCAGGCAAGGCAGGTAAGGCCGTAGGTGAAGTAATGCAGTAATCGGTGGGCCCTAATCTTAGGTCCTAACGACCTATGCTCTAGATACCATCTTAGAAGCTAGGCATCAATGGTGTCGACTATCGAGATGGATGGTACAAAGAAAAATCAGCCTAAGGGGTTGTACCCTACAGTGTGTACCCCACTAAGCCTACCCAAAATATAACATACGGTAGCTATACATATGTTTGACAAGACATAGTTGCAGAGTATGTAGGTAGTTGGAAGCTGGTAGAATCTTAAGAGGCTCGCAATACCATGTTAGAATTTGAAATGACTGAATAGGATCGTGTACTTAGGATGGTAGCTTCCTGTTGCAGTGCAAGTCTTTGTATGAATTAAAGCCAGTGTAGGAGGCTTTGTCTGGGCTAATAGGTATTTAAAGCCCATGTAGTGACACGTTTCAGGATCAATGTCTCTGAAATCAGGTATATTATAAAATGACAAGCATACAGAATATATAGCTAGAGTAAAGTACCTGTTCGCCTACTGTACTGTGTTATTCACACTATTCCTGTTCTGAAACGGTACGTGACTATTCGCGAGGCCTACAGCTACTTGCTGACGTCATCCTAGGGCACGTAGCGCTTTGCTGACGTCAGACTGTCGGTACTTTACTATTACGTGCGAAGTCTCGCACTGTACTAACTGTACTACACGAATTCCTTGAAGTGCTTAAGTCTCGATGTTATCTCAACAGATGCAAGTACAGTATATCTTATCAGAAAGGGAGGTTGAACCATGTGTCATGTGATCAGTGCAACTGATTAACACTACCTTATGAACTCTTTCATATACGGTGTCTCTCAAGCCACACAAAATATTGTGTGGTAACTAAGTGTACACCCACACTGCTATATGTAACTAACTTAACCTGGTTACACGAAGTGCGTTTGGCACTCAGTGCAAGAACTCGGCCAACAACGAGATTTGGAAAGCTATCCCATAGAAACTTTGGCAAGTCAAAATCTGCTCAAAAGTCTTCTGCGCTGGGAGGATTCCGAGGAGGGGGGAAAATCCGACCACCAATGTCCACCTTGAGTGGCATTTCCTGCAAAACACCACAGCACACATTGGGGATGCACATGGTGAGGCCGAAATATTGAGACCGGAAAAACCATTCAAGGGAGGAGGGGAGAAACAGGATGGGCATAGCAGGGGAGACAAGGCTCAGGAACAAGAAAGTGAAAAATCATAAGGGAGGGGAGGGAGAGTGAGAGTGAGTGAAGGAGATGGCAAGGAGATGGTACCTTGAAGAGGAGGTCAAAGGCGAGTGACTCCCAGGGCAGGGAGAGAGACGCCAGGCAGCACCGCAGAGGCTCTTCTCTCACCACTCCTGCTGGTCTACCGATCCCTCCTTGCAGCAACGATGCAGCAAGACCACCCGCACTACCACCACCAGCACCAGCAGGTCCAAGGGAACGACTGCTGCCACCTGCCCTGCTGCTCCCTGCTCTGTTGCTACCACCTGAGCCACGTGCAGCAGGCGATCCTTCAGGTGATTCTCCTGAGTTTCCACCTGAAGCAGAGTGGCCATGTGGGTGTCTGGCAGTGGGGCTGTCTCCATCCTGGTGCACCATGGCTCTTCGAGGGGCACGCGCTACTGGCGGGGAAGCCACTACTGGCCGCTGCAACAGCCTCGACGACCCGCCACTGCTCTCACTGCCCTCAAGCCCCCTTTCCTCTCCTTCCCCACACCCTCCTCTGTCCCCACCGTTGCTGCCAATCCCTCTTGCACCAATGCTATCAGGACCACCAACAACCCCAGTACTGCCAGCACCAGGCCCTCTGGCTTTGCCCCGAGAGGCCTGCATGGATCGGGACGGAGGGGGCCGCTGGCGGTGGTGGTGATCAGAGGGGTGCGGGCGCTTGCCCTTGCTCTGAGACTGCAGCATCTGCAGCTGCTCCTGCACCAGCCGCAGCTCCCCCTGTAGCTCCAGCAACCGCAGCCTCCGTGCCTCCTCCTTTGCGGGCTTGGCCGGGGAAAGGGAGGAGGGGATTTGCTGCTGGAAGGTGCGTGCTGGGGGGAGGGGAGTGGTTGGGGAAGGGGAGGGCGGGGATGGGGAGGGTGGGGAGTGGGAGGCGGGAGGAGGAGGCGGAGTGGGAAGGGGTGGAGAGGGAGAAGGTGATGGTGCTGCCATTGCTGCTGAATCTGCATCGCGTCCTTCTGTTTGCATGCCGTCAGCATCCACATCAGCAGCATCATCAGCTGCAGGAGCAGCAGCAGCATCGGCAACAGGATCAAGGCTGGCAGAGTCCCGCTCTGCTGAGAGGTTGCCCTCTTCCACTTGCATCATGCTGTCCCTGTCGTCACCATCTCCACAAGCAGCGACAGTGGCCGCAGCAGCAGTGATACGAGCACCATCCGTACTTGCCGCTTTGGCCACACCACCACCACCACCACTGCCAGCAGAAGCAGTGGCAGCAGCAGCAGCAGCAGCAGCAGCAGCGGCGGCGGCGGTGGCGGCGGCGGCGACAGTGTTGGCAGCGGATTGAGCCTCTAACTCCAGGAGGTCCATGAGCTCTGCTTGCACTGCCCATAGCTTGCTCTGCAGCTCCTGCAGCGACGGCATGCGCCGATGCAACGGCCCCGATGGACGGCCGGATTGCACCGGAGCGCTGGACGGACGGCCGGATTGCACCGGATGGCCGGATGCGGATGGGCTATTTGCTGATGGCGAGTGGTTGGATTTTGGAGGGCTATTGGGCAGTTGGGGGCGGTTTGGGTGTAACGGGCTGGTGGGTGATGGCTGGGGAGGGCTGGTTGGAGACAGGTGGGAGGCGTGGGTGGGTGATTGTTGCGGTGGAGGGGAGTTGGGATGGGTGGGGGAGGAGAGGGATGGAGCATGTTGGGAGCGGGCCGAGGGGGAAAGAGGCTGCTGGGATGGTGGGAGTTGGAACCGAGAGGACGGCTGAGAGTGAGAAGAGTGAGAGGGCCGAGACGTGTGTGTCCGAGAGGGGTGGCGGGGGGAGAGAGGGGGCTTGGGGGCGAGGGGAGGGCGGGGCGAAAGAGGAGGCTTGGGGGGGAGTGGGGGGAGGGGGAGGGGGCAGACTGCGAGGTTGGCGGCTCCTTTGCCTCCCGGGCCACGGAGAACCAGCCCGGCTGGTTTCATAGGGGAGGGGGACGCGGATCCAAACATGGAGAAGAGACCTGCCGAGGGAGGGGGGGATGGAGGGGGTTGGAAGGGCAGTGGAGGGTAGTTAGGAGTGGGTGGTGTGGGGTTGGCAGCTCCTCTGCCCCCTGGCTGGTTTCATAGGGGAGGGGGACGTGGATCCAAACATGGAGAAGAGACCTGCCAGGGGAAGGGGGTTGGAAGGGGAGCGGAGGGCGGTGAGAAACGGTTCTGTGAGGTGGCATGGCGGACGTGCTAGATCAACAGCCACAGAGACAAATCCGAACATGAAAGGTTCTGAATCTGGAAAGCTGGAAGCTCAAGGGGAAGTGTACCTTGGAAGGAAGTTCTGAGCATGGGGTAGCTCACAAAGCCAGAGACAATTCTCTTCAGGAGCCTAAAAATACCATTCTTGCCTCAAATGACGCACCTTGGAAGGAGGTTTTGAGCATGGGGTAGCTCACAAAGCCAGAGAAGAGCGTGATCTGCAATGGCAATGGCAATGGCAATGGCAAGGGCAGGGGCAAGGGCAATGGCATGGCACATGGCATGAGGCATGGCAGGGATTGTGGCATGGGGCTATGGCATGGCATGTGCCACTCGCATGACAGCATACAGATACAGGCCCATTTCGCACACTGCCTCCCTCACATCCCATCTCCCCTCCCCAATCCACTCCCTTGTCCTCTCACCTTGGACCCATCCCCTGAAGCCTCCCCCAGCATTTGGGCCTCGCTGCTGGTGCCGTGCCCCTTTTAATCCCCCCCCCCCCCCCCCCCCACCTTCTTTCTCACCTTGGGCCCGTTCCCTGACGCCTCTCCCAGCACCTTGGCCTCCCTGCTGGTGCCACGCTGCAGCACGCGGCGCTGCCCGTCAGCGAGGGTCTTCCCCCCCTTTTTCCTTCTCTCATTCCAGCCCCCTTTCCCCTCCCCTTGTCCTCCTCACCTTGGGCCCGTCCCCCGAAGCCTCTCCCAGCACTTTAGCCTCGCTGCTAGTGCCGCGCTGCAGCACGCGGCGCTGCCCGTCCGCGAGGGTCTTCTCAACAGTATCCTGGGCGGGGAAGGCCGCCCCCCTGTGCGCGCTCAGCAGCACACAGAAGCAGTGGTCGCTGCCCTTGAGCACCTGGGGGTGTGGGGAAGAGGGGGGCACATGGCACGGGGCATGGGGTATGTGGGGTGTGTGTATGCATTGGCCATAGTGCATGGGGCATGGGGCAGTGTGTTGGGCGCTGGCCATCCGCGAGGGTTTTCTCAACAGGGAAGGCCGCCCCCCTGTGCGCCCTCAGCAGCACACAGAAGCAGTGGTCGCTGCCCTTGAGCACCTGGGGAGGCATGAGGCATGTGGTATGGAGTTTGGAGTATGAGGCTTGCTGTACTGGAGCATGATGCATGCAGCAAGAGGTATGAGTCACTGGGCGTAGAGTATGGGGCGTGGGGCATGGAGCATGGGGAATGGCGCATGGAGTATGGGGCATGGTGCATGGGGCATGGGGCATGGTGCATGGTGCATGGTGCATGCCGCATGGCGCATAGAGCATGGGGCATGCCGCATGGCGCATAGAGCATGGGGCATGATGCACAGAGGGCATAGCTGAGAGAGCCCAGCAAAACCCACCACGGACTCGAAGGCACGGTCTGAGGAGTCAATGGCGAAGCAGATGTTGGGATACGCCTCTGTCACCTCTGGGTCCTGCTGGGGGGGAAGGCAGAAAGGCATGGTGGAGGGATGCAGGATGGATGGAATGTGAACGTGGTGAACGTGGTGGACCGTGGACGTAGACATGCATGTGTCTGTGCCATGGGTTTGGGGCGCAGGGCAGAGATGAGGGACAGAATACCGGACGATCGCGGGATCCAGCAGGGCGGATGTGCTGCAGTGGACCGCTGTGTCACATGTGCTGCAGTGGACCGCTGTGTCACATGTGCTGCAGTGGACCGCTGTGTCACATGTGCTGCAGTGGACCGCTGTGCCACATGTGCTCGCATGCCAACATGCCATGCTCTCGTGGGCAGCCAGCCATGCCATGTGCTCGTGTGCACGCATGCATGGAATGGAGTGCCATCCGCTCGCTGGACTAGGGAGCCCATTATCTCGAGCCTTCCCACTACTGCCTGCCCCACATGCCCGCACGCTGGTCTCCACTACAAGCCTCCCCGCTACACGGCCCACTTGCCTGTGACGTGGATGGGGGCAGGGGAAGGCTGGTGTCGATGAGGGCTCTACTGGGGGAGGCGTATGCTCGCCTTGTCACCTGGTGCAGTGAAGGATGGTACAGGGAGATGGCACGGGGACAATGACATGAGGGGATGGCATGCGGAGATGGGATGGGGGGAATGGCATGGGGGGATGGGATGAGGATGCATTGATGGGATGACAAAATGGCAAGGAGAAACTAGGGAAGGGGGCTCAATGGAAAATGGAGAGGGGGAGACGGGGGTTGTGGGGGCTGGAGGAAGATGAGAGAGATGGCACGATGGGGAACAGCATGGGGGGAAAGGCACACAGTACCTTCATTATGGGCGGCACGGCTCGTCCTGACCGCTTCTGGTTCTCCAGGGCCGTGCGACTGGCGTGGGGAGAGAGTGGGGGGCCAGGGGCATGGAGGGCAGGAGGGCAGGGGAGGCAGGGGCAGGGTGAGCAGGAGCGCAGGGGTGTGGACACTGGTGGGCTGTGGGGACGATGGTGTGTGTCAGACAGTGTGCTTGCATATGTGTGTGCGTGTGCTACCTGCAGGTCAAATCATGCAGTTACTACTCCCTTGTATACAGGTCACCCGCGTGCAGCTCACCCACACACACCTCACCTACTCACACACAGCTACAGACGGCAATGGTGAGCGAGTAGTCGGTGTGGCAGAGATACAAGGTGGGCCGGCAGTCTAAACACAGCAACGACTCACACCCACACAGCTCACCCGAACACAACCCACACAGCTCACCCGAACACAACCCACGCAGCTCACCCGAACACAACCCACACAGCTCACCCGAACACAACCCACGCAGCTCACCCGAACACAACCCACGCAGCTCACCCGAACACAACCCACACAGCTCACCCGAACACAACCCACGCAGCTCACCCGAACACAACCCACGCAGCTCACCCGAACACAACCCACGCAGCTCACCCGAACACAACCCACGCAGCTCACCCGAACACAACCCACGCAGCTCACCCGAACACAACCCACGCAGCTCACCCGAACACAACCCACGCAGCTCACCCGAACACAACCCACGCAGCTCACCCGAACACAACCCACGCAGCTCACCCGAACACAATCCACGCAGCTCACCCGAACACAACCCACACAGCTCACCCGAACACAACCCACGCAGCTCACCCGAACACAACCCACGCAGCTCACCTGAACACAACCCACGCAGCTCACCTGAACACAACCCACGCAGCTCACCCGAACACAACCCACGCAGCTCACCTGAACACAACCCACGCAGCTCACCTGAACACAACCCACGCAGCTCACCCGAACACAACCCACGCAGCTCACCCGAACACAACCCACGCAGCTCACCTGAACACAACCCACGCAGCTCACCCGAACACAACCCACGCAGCTCACCCGAACACAACCCACACACACACACACAGAGCAGAGAGCAGCAGACCTGCAGACGGGGATGGTGAGCGAGAAGTCGATGTGGCAGATGAGGTTCAGATAGAAGGTGCGCCGCCAGTCCAATCACAGAAACCACTCACCCCCACACAGCCCACCCACACAGCCCACCCGCACAGCTCACCCAAACACAGCAGTGAGCAGCGGACAGCATATCTATCAGCAGCAGACCTGCAGACGGCGATGGTGAGCGAGTAGTCGGTGTGGCAGATGAGGTTCAGATAGAAGGTGCGCCGCCAGTCTATGCTCTCCATACTGCCGCCCAGGATCTCCCCCAGCTGTACCCATGTGCATGGCAGTGCAGAGGGGTGAGTAGTGGTGCAGAGAGGTGCAGGGAATGGGAATGAATGGAGGAGAGAAGTGCGTCAGACTGGCATGGCATGACATGACAGTCTGACTGTTGCTGTGCACTCTGTGAGGGAGGCACCTCATAACATGAGGAGTCTGAATGCACTGCGGGGCACATGGCATGCCAAGCATGGTGCAGCCAGCAGCCACGGCGATAAACTTAGCCACCAACGTTACACAACTCTAGCAGCCACGATCACAGGGCACTCACGCTGCTCTGCCTGCGTCTGGCGAAGTAAGGCCGCCGTCTCTCCACTGCCTCCATGCCCTCTCCCCGGCCTGCCATGTCCCCTGCGCCCTCGGCCACACCACCTGCCTGACGGGGTGTTGCTACAGGTGACTGCACATGGGAGAGAGCCGGTGGGTGGGAGAGATGGGTGGGTGGGAGGGATGGGCGGATGAGAGTGAGAGGGATGGGCGAATGGGGGAAACCCCGCCTGCAACCTTGGAAACAACATCGCCATACCATGGTGTCCCTCACAGTAGACCCACCTGAACTCTCACTCATCTACTTCGTCTCCAACCCACCAAACCTGGGTCTCAAGCCGCTTGTATTATTTTGTGCGCTCTGCTTTATCATTCATAGCAATCTTCAAGCATTCAAGCAATCACAAAGATTTTAGAGTTATCTTCACCAACGTTCGAGTGAGAAGTTCAGCCCAACATGTACACTAAAAGGGCTGCCCATCAAGATTGTGACAGGAAAGAAGATCTCGTTCAGCCACTCTAATAATAGTACTCTAATGAACATCAAAAGGAGTGGACGGAGAGAGGGGAGTAGAGTGGTAGAGGGGAATAGGATGGAAGCAGGCCCCCAACTTCAACCAACGCACCTCGTCTATGACAAAGAACACCACGTCCCGAAAGGAACCGTCTTGAGTGGCATCACCCCTCAGCTGCACGCCGCGCACAAAGAAGAGGTCTGCCATCTCGCGCCAGTACTGCCGGTCCATCATCGGTGCCATCTGCGCCCCATCCACCTCACCTCTAGCCCACCTCACCTCCATCCCACCTCACGCCACTGCAAACGCACCTCATCTCTCACGAAGAAAACAACATCCCGGAAAGAACCATCTTGGGTAGCATCCCCCCGCAGCTGTACGCCGCGCACAAAGAAGAGGTCTGCCATCTCCCGCCAGTACTGCCGGTCCATCATCAGCGCCGTCTGCGCCCCATCCACCTCACCTCTAGCCCACCTCACCTCCATCCCACCTCACGCCACTGCAAACGCACCTCATCTCTCACGAAGAAAACAACATCCTGGAAAGAACCATCTTGGGTAGCATCCCCCCGCAGCTGCACGCCGCGCACAAAGAAGAGGTCTGCCATCTCGCGCCAGTACTGCCGGTCCATCATCGGTGCCATCTGCGCCCCATCCACCTCACCTCTAGCCCACCTCACCTCCATCCCACCTCACGCCACTGCAAACGCACCTCATCTCTCACGAAGAAAACAACATCCCGGAAAGAACCATCTTGGGTAGCATCCCCCCGCAGCTGTACGCCGCGCACAAAGAAGAGGTCTGCCATCTCCCGCCAGTACTGCCGGTCCATCATCAGCGCCGTCTGCGCCGCCTCCGCACCCGCCCCGTCCCGAGACGCTGCCGGCCGCACCAGAGCGCCAGAATGCTTCCGTACTATCTCCAAAATATCCTTGCGACTGGTGTTTCCATGCGGAAAAGGGGCAGGGAGGAGGGAGAGCATATGAATAGAAGGGTGCAGCACAAAGAAGAGGTCTGCCATCTCCCGCCAGAACTGCCGGTCCATCATCAGCGCTGTCTGCACCGCCTCTGCGCCCGCCCCGTCCCTCGACGCCGCTGGTCGCACCAGCGCACCTGAATGCTTGCGCACTATCTCTAGAATGCCCTTGCGACTGGTGGCATGCATGTGCATGGGTGTTCAGGCCCAAGGAAGGAGATAGTATTAAACAATGCGCACAGGTGTTGATGCCTCTGGCCGCACCAGCGCACTCGAGTGCTTGCGACTGATGCATGCACCAGTGCACCCGAGTCCTTGCGACTGATGCATGCGGGGACGGCGGATTGGGGCAGGGAAGGAGATTATATGAACTAATGGGCACACCTGGCCGCACCAGCATGCCCGAGTGCTTGCGACTCGTGTGACGCACTGGGACGGGGGGCAGGGAGGGAGAGATTAGAATATGAATTTGGGAACTGAGTGTGCGGTGCAGGGTGCTCGCTCTCTCTTCACATCCTCCCTTTGTTCACAACTTCTGCTCTCACACCATAAGTCACCTACTGCCCCAGATTAACCAATACCCCTTGAATGCCGTCTTTCTTTTCTCCTACCATGCGTATTCACAAGTTTTCTAGAGAATCCTCCCACATTGCTCCTCCAAACTCTCACCCTACCACATGTATTTCCTTCAGCCTCCAACCCCTCCCCCCGTTACTCAGCTTGGCCTTCCATTCCTGCCTCCTCTCGCGCCTCTCCTCACGTTACCCTCCAAAATTCTCCGCATAAATCTTCTCAGACCTCCCCTTACACCTCTCCCATATTTCTCCAGCCACACCTCTTCCCACACCTTCCCCCAAACCCGCACCCCTCACCTAACGCCTTCCCCCTCACCTCCCCTCTCTCCCTCCTCTCACCTCCACTCTCGAATCCCCCCTTACCTCCCCTTTAGCAACTCCTCTCGCCTCCTCTGTTGCCTTCCCTCTCTCCTTCCTATCCCATCCTCTCGCCTCCCCTCTCGCCTCACCTCTTGCCCCCCTTCTCCCTCTTTCTCTCTCCTCTCCTCTCTCCTCCCCTCCCTCTCCCCGCTCTCCTCCCCTCTCTCCTCCCGCTCGCCGTGCCCCACGGGTCCCCATTCGTCCCCCCGCTTGGCCCTCCCATCTCCCCGCACCTCATGGCGCCCCCAGGAGGGGGAGACGAAGGCGACGACGGCGATTCGCCCCACGTCCCCGCTGCTTCCCCATTCGCCCCCGCCATATCCCGCCCCTGCCGCTCCCGCTCCCCCGCCTGCGAGCACGCCGGCGCATCCACCGCCATGTCCGCGCCCCTCTCCGCGCCCGCTTCCGCGGGCCGTTCCGCTCCGCCTTCCGCCGGCCTGCTTGCGCCAGCGCTAACTTCCGCGGAGGCGGGAACCGGCGCTTCCGCGTGCGCTTGCTGCTGCAGCTGCAGCGCGCGCAGCATATTAGCTAGCCGTTGGCGATCCTCTGGGGAGAGCCGCTTAACTCCGGAATGCACGCTAGGGGAATTGATTCCCGAGGGATTACCGGAGGAGTACCCTCCGGGTGACGCCATTCCCGGGGACCGGGACATTGGAGCGGATGGGGAGGGTATCGACGGGGAGCGCAATGCCGTACTTGGTGCGTTTGCTGAGGTGACTATGGCGGATGGTACTGCAGCAGACGGTTCAGGGGGGGATGGTTCGGTTGGTGGCTGTATCGAGGGGGATGGATGGGTTGGTATGCCGGACGGAGGGGTGGCTAGGGTGGGTTGGCCGGATTGGGCGGATTGGGTCGGTGGAAGATGGGTGGGTTGGGTGGGTGAAAGAGGGATGGGATCCGGTGGAGAAAATTCGGCTACAGAAGACGGGTTTCTAGCTGCTGGTGGAGTCGACTCGCCGCCGCCTAAAGACGTATTTCCGGTGCTGGCGCGTGGAGAACCGCTATCATCCATGTCTACGTCCATGGCGTCGGAATCCATTATAAATTGAATCAAATCTGTTTGTACAGGAACAGCGGCAATGGACTACAACGAGCTTATTTCCTGCTGCAACTACAGCCAGGTTTGGTTCGAGCCGAGGGTGCAACGGATTTCAGGAATATTTAGTGTCGTGAGGAGCATGGTCTTGTCTCCTGAGCATGGTACCGTGACGAGGTAACTAAGAAATCACAGGAACATGAATAGAAAACCCTAGCTGTACGCGACGCGCTGTAGGCCTCTACAACCCCAGAATCATGGCGAAACGCAACGCCCTGATCGAAAACGATAAGGCTACGGCGACATTGAAGCTGGCTCTCCCGTACGCGTCGACAGGTCCCATCCACCAACCCACGATGCGCAGGGAAAGCGGTTCTGTCTATAGATGCCGCTCCTTGCTACGGAACGGCTCATTCGCGATAAAAGCTACCTAAGTTTGTCCGCGCAATGCTACATCATCGCGAGCCATCCAACGGTCGTGCGGCAAAATGTCGGATTCCTCTTGTTCCATCCGAACCCCACGTTAGGCTTTTGAATGAAGTGACAAGTGCGGTCCGACATCAGAAGACATAGCTAACGCCACCTGCTTTTTCAAGGTGCCTGCTTGAACTGGCAAGAATCTTTGGCTGAAAAATTTGCGAGATTACTGTACAGACAGGTGCTCTCATCTCTCATGTCCATGGCATCTCGGGATCTCCCATGTTTTCATGTTTCTGTTTCGCTGCTGGTCATGGCAATCTCGAGACTTCGTTCGGCGTCCAGCCTTCCACCCACTCAACTGTGACTGTTGGATGGGCTGCACTGCAAATTTTATGTTTGGAGAAGCCCTGAGGTTTCCAGGTCAATTTTCATCTACCCGGAACTTGCTCAATTGTTTCAACAACTACTGGAATCTTGACTATTGACACGGAAAAAATCGGGGGAAAAAGGTCGTGCCAGCTGCAAGAAGAGAAGAAATATTGCTGTCAAACACGAGTTTTCCTTACCAAAACAACCGAGAAAGGGGGACCAGTAGTAGTGACTGGTTCTCCCCGCGACCATTTTTCCACACTCCAGCCCCCCAACCGCCACATTTCCGCCCGTGCAGGGGGCTGAAGGTATTCAGCACCGTTTTCCCCCCTGTGAAATGCTGGCGAGGCCTGCAATCTGTGGCTGTCTGGCGGGTCCCTCCCTTGCTCTGCACTGAACCCCCCCCATCAGGAAAACAGCACCGGATTTTGCGGATATTTCGGGTGCGAGGAACCGCAGATGGGGGGCGCATAGTGACCCCTGCGCAGGGGAAGTGTGCTGTTCTGTTTCCTTCCTCACTGCCAGCCTCCCAAGTTCTGTGGAATGGTGGTGAGGTCGCGATCTTGACGAAGAGATTGTAACCCTTTTTCCACGACCCCTGGATGTTCGCTTGCAGCCCAATTGCTGCCCACCACCACGACACAGTTTGTCGTGCAGCTCAGAGTCAACGCAGCGCCAAAAATATGATTGGGGGACTCACGTCACAATATTCTCGTCAATGACAACCAGGACGCGAGTGAATACACCCTCGCAAAACACACACTAGTTCAGACAGCTTATGCATCAGGTAACTGAAACAAATCACACAAAATCCCTTACTATCCCCAACATTTCAACCCATTCAACCCCCCTCCATAACTAAGCGGCTGAACTACCAAAAAACAACTCTGAAACGGGCCGCACCAGCACCACCCTGCCTGAATTAATCCATGAATGTGGCACTCCTGTTTCCAGACGAAGGAAACACTTGCGGCCTCTTCCCACCCCTCGGCGCATCATAAGCCAAGCCTCTCTTGGCCACTCCAGCCGCAATCGGTTGCAACGGATCAAACACCGCACTCTTACTCCCTCGCCCTCCCTCACCCCCACCACCCTGCTTTCCAGCATTGGCAGCAGCATCGGCAGCTGCTGCAGCAGCAGCCGCAGGCAGTGGCACAGAGAACTTAGGAGCCCCACGCTTGTTCCATTTTTTCTTATCTGCCGAAGGACCCAGAGCCATGGCCTCACTGGCAGCCACATGCTGTGCATCCAGCCCAAACTCCTCCTTCTCCGCCGAGAAATCATAAATCTCAAGCCGCGCGAATCCTTCCTGATCCTCCTGCTGCCGACCAGGAAGCTTCCTCTCATCTTCATCACCAACCCTGCCATCGTTACCAGCGAAGGCACCACCACCATCATCAGAATCATCATCGTCATCATCCTCACTATCATGCACCATGCGAAGCCCCTCCTCCTCCTCTTCCTCTGAATCCGAGCCCCACAACCCTCCAGTCCCACTCTTCCTCTTCTTCTTGCGCCTCTCCTCCCCCTCTGCAGCTCTCTGAAACGCCTCTGAAACCAGGTCCTTGCGCTGCCCCCCACCAGCACCCTTCTTAGCTGGCTGTTGTGACTGTGACTGTGCTGATGCCTTGCCCTCAACACCAATGTCCCCCCCTTCTGCAGCTGCAGCTGCAGCATCAGCATCAGCCGCATCACCAGCACCAGACCCAGACCCTGCACCATCACCAACACCGTCAACATCGTTTGCCCCAGCGCCAGCATCAGCAGCATCACTACTGGCAGCACCAGCAGCAGCGGCGGCGGCGGCAGCAGCAGCAGCTTTGAGCATGCGTCTCTTCTTCCTCTGTGCCCGCCTGCCTTCCTCCGCATCAAAAGCAGCGCTCAGAGGAGCTGGCAGGTCCCCCCCTGCCTCAACTCCACCGCTCACTCCTGCCCTGCTTCCACCCCCTTCGCCCTCTGCCTGGCTTCCGGCTTTTCTGGCTGCTCGTGCTGCTGCTGCTGCCGCTGCCACTGCAGCAGCCACATGAGCCGGAGACTTGGCTGGTCGCTGCCGCTTCTTCTGCCCGTCCCCTGCTTCTCCTCCCTTCCCTGCTCCCCCTACCCCCCCTGCTTCCCCTCCGCCCCCTCCTCCCCCCTCACCTCCCTCTGCTTCCCCACCATTCCCCCCTTCTCCTTCCTCTCCCCTACCTTCAGCTGCCAACCTCCCCTCACCTTCCGCAGTTCCATGCTTTTCACCTGCCCGTGAAACAACTTCCTCCGATCCCATTGGCTGTGGCACAATTCCCATGGCTGCCCGAACTCGTGCTGCCAGATCTTCTTTCGCTGAAGCTCCATCCGTCTTCTGAGCCTTTGCCAAGGGCTTTGCTGCCACTACAGCTGCTCCTCCTGCTGCTCCTGCTGCTTTCGCTGGTCGTTTTTGGCCCAGGAGTGCCCCAAAGCCAGACTTGGCTGCTGCCTTCTTCACCTTCACCTTCGCTACAGCCGCTGCTACAGCCGGTGGTGAAGCCGATGTAGATGCAGTTATGGCAGCTGTTGAAGGGACACCCGCACCAGCAGAGGCAGCAGCGGCAGCACCGGGAGCCACACCAGCAGCGGCAGCGGCACGGGCAGCAGCAGCAGCAACAGCAGCGGCAGCAGCTGCAGCAGCAGGAGTACCAGGAGCAAAGGGGTCTTTGGCTGACGTGGCAGCATGCCGTGCTGCGACGACAGCTGGCGACTCTAGAGTGGTCGTTGCCAGGTCAGCAGAATCTTTGATCTGGCTTATCATTCGGGTGATGGTTGCAGCATTCCGAGCTACAAGGGGCGCCGAGCCTCGGAGGCAGGTTCGGAGAGCACGTTCGGAGGTGGGCATGTCACGCGCTGGATAGGAGTGAATGAGGGAGAGTGGGGAAGAGAAGCAAACGGGCTTTTCGACACAGCAGAGACAGCACGGGACATGCCCACTTCCGAACGTGCTCCGAGTGACGGGGAAAGACGGAGCAGCAAAGAAGGCAAAACATGCGGGGCAAGACAGTTTACAAGTGAGTGACATGACATGACAACCCCCCTGGGATCTGATTCATGCAGGGCAACCACGCAGGGCAACCACGCAGGGCAACCACGCAGGGCAACCACGCAGGGCAACCACGCAGGGCAACCACGCAGGGCAACCACGCAGGGCAACCACGCAGGGCAACCACGCAGGGCAACCACGCAGGGCAACCACGCAGGGCAACCACGCAGGGCAACCACGCAGGGCAACCACGCAGGGCAACCACGCAGGGCAACCACGCAGGGCAACCACGCAGGGCAACCACGCAGGGCAACCACGCAGGGCAACCACGCAGGGCAACCACGCAGGGCAACCACGCAGGGCAACCACGCAGGGCAACCACGCAGGGCAACCACGCAGGGCAACCACGCAGGGCAACCACGCAGGGCAACCACGCAGGGCAACCACGCAGGGCAACCACGCAGGGCAACCACGCAGGGCAACCACGCAGGGCAACCACGCAGGGCAACCACGCAGGGCAACCACGCAGGGCAACCACGCAGGGCAACCACGCAGGGCAACCACGCAGGGCAACCACGCAGGGCAACCACGCAGGGCAACCACGCAGGGCAACCACGCAGGGCAACCACGCAGGGCAACCACGCAGGGCAACCACGCAGGGCAACCACGCAGGGCAACCACGCAGGGCAACCACGCAGGGCAACCACGCAGGGCAACCACGCAGGGCAACCACGCAGGGCAACCACGCAGGGCAACCACGCAGGGCAACCACGCAGGGCAACCACGCAGGGCAACCACGCAGGGCAACCACGCAGGGCAACCACGCAGGGCAACCACGCAGGGCAACCACGCAGGGCAACCACGCAGGGCAACCACGCAGGGCAACCACGCAGGGCAACCACGCAGGGCAACCACGCAGGGCAACCACGCAGGGCAACCACGCAGGGCAACCACGCAGGGCAACCACGCAGGGCAACCACGCAGGGCAACCACGCAGGGCAACCACGCAGGGCAACCACGCAGGGCAACCACGCAGGGCAACCACGCAGGGCAACCACGCAGGGCAACCACGCAGGGCAACCACGCAGGGCAACCACGCAGGGCAACCACGCAGGGCAACCACGCAGGGCAACCACGCAGGGCAACCACGCAGGGCAACCACGCAGGGCAACCACGCAGGGCAACCACGCAGGGCAACCACGCAGGGCAACCACGCAGGGCAACCACGCAGGGCAACCACGCAGGGCAACCACGCAGGGCAACCACGCAGGGCAACCACGCAGGGCAACCACGCAGGGCAACCACGCAGGGCAACCACGCAGGGCAACCACGCAGGGCAACCACGCAGGGCAACCACGCAGGGCAACCACGCAGGGCAACCACGCAGGGCAACCACGCAGGGCAACCACGCAGGGCAACCACGCAGGGCAACCACGCAGGGCAACCACGCAGGGCAACCACGCAGGGCAACCACGCAGGGCAACCACGCAGGGCAACCACGCAGGGCAACCACGCAGGGCAACCACGCAGGGCAACCACGCAGGGCAACCACGCAGGGCAACCACGCAGGGCAACCACGCAGGGCAACCACGCAGGGCAACCACGCAGGGCAACCACGCAGGGCAACCACGCAGGGCAACCACGCAGGGCAACCACACAGGGCAACCACGCAGGGCAACCATGGGGGACAATCATGGGTGGGGGGCAACGCACTGACTTTGAGCAGCAGGTGGTTGGGCATGACGTATTGCAGCCCCTCATCGCACTCCCTGCCCATTGAGTCGACTCAAAAGCCACCTCATCGCACTCCCTGCCTAGTGAGTCGACTCAAAAGCCACCTCATCGCACTCCCTGCCTAGTTAGTCGACTCAAAAAGTCACCTCATCGCACTCCCTGCCCAGTGAGTCGACTCAAAATCCACCTCATCGCACTCCCTGCCTAGTTGCTGCCATCTTATGCAACAGCCTTTCCTAGTTACTGACATGCCGATCACTGGGATGTGATTTGTGCGGGACAATCAATCATGGGGGCTTTGTGTGGGGCAACTCACCGACTTTCAGCAGCAGGTGGTTGGGCATGACGTATCCCAGCCCTTCATCGCACTCCCTGCCTGTCTGATCGCGCCACGTGTACAGCACCTGATGTGATGACATGGCATGGGTGACGTGGCATGGAAGGTATAGAGGACGGAATGGAGGCATGAGTTGGCATGCTAAGCATGGCGTTGTATGTAACAGCATGGGTATCTTAAGCAAAGAAAATGGCATGTTGGCAGTGCCAGCGAGCGACGGACGGTCTAGCAGGAAAAAGACAGCGGGGAGGGGGGGGGGATGGAGGGGGGTGCAGGTGGAGAAAACGTGCATGCAGGAGCACTTTCTGTGCAAATATGGAATGAAAGCGCATTCGTGTGAGTAAAGGAGATATGCATGAAGCTGAAGCCACACGAATGAAGCTTACAGAGAGAACGGCCATCTGCTCCTCACTGAAGCCCTCTGTGCTCAGCCTGCGAGCGAAGCAAGACGGGTTGTACGACATGGGATATAGACTTAAAGAAGATGGAATAGAGGACAGTATACGCACGAACAAAGCAGAAAAACACGAGGAGCATATGGTCTCAGTGTGAACGGCAATGAGAGTGGAAAAACACAAGGAGCACACCTGTTGTTGCGGAGGAAGGAGTGGAAGGCGCGCTGTGGCTTGGAGTAGAGCAGCAGACACACGTCCCTACTGCGAGTGAGCACCTGCGGAGGACGAGGGGAGAGGGAAAAAATACGGGGTAAGGGGGGGGGGGGAGGGGGGCAAGGGGTGAGGAGAACTGTCAGGGCGTGTGTGGTGCAGTGTGGATTGGAGTAGAGCAGCAGACACACGTCCCGGCTGCGAGTGAGCACCTGCAGGGGCAGGGGGGCGAGGGAGGGGCGGTGGCCGAAGGACAGGTAAGAGGGGGCAAGGCGCGCTGTGGCTTGGAGTAGAGCAGCAGACAAACGTCCCTACTGCGGGTGAGCACCTGCAGAGGGGCGAGGGGTAAAGGACGTGGAAGGGGGAGGGGAGAGGGCAGTGGGGGCGAGGGGTGATAACTTGAGTCGAAAAGTGCACACTTGAGTTGGAAGGATTTCGAACACACTAAGGGAGGACCACACAAGAAGAGAAAGAAACAACACAAGAAGAGAAAGAAACAACACAAGAAGAGAAAGAAACAACACAAGAAGAGAAAGAAACAACACAAGAACTTCAGTGGCCTCAAAATAGAATCTAGCATTTACTTACCTCTAGGATAGCTGGACACGGCTTGCCATACTCCCCCCTGTCCTCCCCTCCCTCTCCCTTCTCTCCTCTTCCCTCTTCCTCCTCGTCCTCCTCTTCATCATCATGCACCTCCCCTTCCTCCTCCTCCTCTTCTCCCTCCTCCTTCCCCTCACCGCCCTCCGCCACAGCCCCACCGAAAACCTTCCCTTTAACATCCTTCCCCACAGCACCACCAGCACCAGCAGCAGCAGTACCAGCAGCAGCAGCACCAGCAGCAGCAGACGCAGCGAGTTGGAGGCGAAGGCAGTCGTGCAGGAAGAGCAGGTAGTGGGTGTCCTCCCGGGCATACTTGAGCATGTCACTCGGCAGCGGCCGCACGCGCCAGTCCGCCATCTGAAGGCTCTTGTTGGCCGTCACCCTGCAGTAGCGCTGCAGCAGGTGCGCCAGGGAGAAGCGCTCTAAACCGAGCACCCGTGAGGCCTGCCCCGTGTCAAACATATTCGCAATGAAGATGCCAAAGTCCCTTTGCAGCCATACTACATCGCTGTCCGCCCCGTGCATCACCTGAAGAGGGGAGGGTGAGGGGGGCGGGGGCGGGGGCGGGTAGGGGCGCCAGTCAAAACCTCTCTCTCAGAGCCCCTCCCTATGCCAGTCCACCATTTGCAGGCTCTTGTTGGCTGTGACACCGCAGTAGCGCTGCAGCAGGTGCGCCAGGGAGAAGCGCTCCAAGCCCAGGACCCGAGCGGCCTGCCGTGTGTCCTCGGCTGGAAGGACCGGTATACCACCCACCACCCACCTGTGATTCTCGAGGTCCATCGCCACCTCCCTCTCTTTGAACCAACCCCTCTGCATATTTCACAGGACGCCCTGGGAGGACCTGAACCGGTAGCTCTGGTTCTTGAGACGTCTCAAAAATCTACTTTCTACACGTAGCTCTGGTTCTCCAGGTCTCACCTTCACAACACGTGTGTCGGCGAATATCGGTCCCAGAAGGGGCCCAATCTCTCCCCTCAGCGCAATGGCATCCACCACATAGTCTTTCCTCCGCGTCGACAGCTGCAGCACGCACAGGAAGCCCTGAAACGACCGGTAGTTGTGATTCTCCAGGTCTACTGCCACCTCCCTCTCCGCTTTAATCTCCTCCGCCATGGCCGCTAGCTGCTCGCGCGTTTCCACGTATGCCAAGGGTGTGTCTTCTAAGGGAGGTGGGGGGGGGAGTAGGTGGTGTGGTTCCGAGCCTGGCGTTGGTTCGGTGGCTCGGGACGGCAGGTTCGGAGGGCAGAGCTGCCAGGGCTGGTAGGTGATGTGGCGAAGGCGGTGCTGGGAAGGGGTGGCGCATGGAAGCAACATAGGGGTAGGTGGGGGGTTGGAGGGGTTTGGAGGGGCGGATGGATGGATCATTACAAGAAGAGGAGAGAGAGGGCAAGGGGTGAGAGAGAAGGGAGGGTGAGAAGAACGAACAACAAGAAGCTGAGGTAAGACAGTTGGGGTGGCAATGTAACGCGAGAATAGGCGTTCCGCAAGGCAGCTGTAAGGTTTCACCGGAGAAGGCCCCAACGCTACACCCAGAACCCGGAACCCGAACCCCAAACCCTGAACCCCGAATCATGTACCCTGTGAGATACTCACCCACAACGGATGGCGCTCCTTCAGCGCTCTCCATTTCAGCCGCGGAGGCCCCCTGCCTCTCCCCTCCCCCCTTCCGCGCACCTTCTCCCCCTCCGCATCCTCGTTCCCCCCCTCTCCTTCCGCCACCTCCTCCCCTTCTTCCAACTCCCCCCCTGCCCGCCCGCCCCCGCCCCCCTCCTCTTCCGCGCTCTCCTCTCCGGGGCTTTCCGCTTCCGCCTCGCGCCGGATCGCCGCAATGAACTCGAGGCGCGGCAACGAGAGCGGCGCGTCGGAGTTGTCAACAGGCGGCTCGAACTCGTCCTGCGGCCGGTTCTTCCCGCGTAAGCTGCGCCGCCAGCTGCTAGCTGACATGGCAATCTCCGCCGCCGGCATGCTTCCGCCTGCTTGCTGCTTTCCGCCAGCCTTGGGCGCGGAAAAGGCGGCGTCCGCAAGACCGGAGCCGAACGCCCCCGCGTCGCGCAGAAGCGCCTCCCGCCGCTGCTCCGCCTCCTCCTCCTCCAGCCCCTGCCAATCCGGTTGCGCCTTCTTCCGCCTTTTGCGCATCTCGTCAAGTGCCACGTCGACCTTCTCCAGCCGGCTATCCAGCACGTCGACGAGCCAATCATAAACGTCGTCCACGTCAGCGTCATCGTCATCGTGGTCACCTGCGCCGGAAGCCAACGCGGCAGGTGGCGGAGGCGGGCCAAGGCGGGAGAGCAACTCGCGCACGCGGTGGCGGAGGGCGGAGACGCGCGCGCGGAAGGCGGCGAAGTTGCAGTAGAAGTGGAAATCGTCTTCCGCGGGCAGCGCGTGCACTGCGCCCGCTAGCGCCGCGATCGCCGCTGTCACGCCTTGGAAGTCGAGCGGAGGAGCGTCGTTAGCATTGGGGTTTGGAGCTTTAGGGTTTGGAGGGTGCAGGGTTTGCGCGGCAGGGGAATGCCCTGACGCCATGGCGGTAGAAGTGACTCAGGAGGAAGGACAGGATATGATGCAATGGTGCCACGAAAAGAGCCCCGTCTGTACAGACAGTTTGCTCAACTAAGGAGGAATTGCAGGAAGTTGGAGGATGGAGGATGCAGTGTGTGGCACGGAGTGAAACGCAGGTCTCGGATTCCGAGGTACGAATTATGTACACCTCGAAATGTACGTCAATCAGAGTGTAATTTTCTTGTACCAAGGAAAAAGAACCTTCTTACAGAACGCTTCGTTAATATTGCGGTTCTCGTAACAAATTCCTTACAAGTACATAACTACGGATCGAGTACCATCCCCAACCTCGAATTGTGGCGCGCAGAACCGCACGTCATCTGCGTGCTGACGTGGAGCAGAAACACCCACATTTGCAGCCCTTCTTCCTCACCTCAACCCCCACGAGTTCGAGGCATCACGGGTCTAGGCTCTAGACCCTTAACTCTGGTGGACGCGTGTCACGGGGTGACCATTCGAGGCCCTTCGTTCAGGCGGACTAGGGCGCGGGGTGGTGGGTCTGGTGCGAGCATTCGCTTTAAAGAACGCGTTTGACACGTGTCGACGCTGATCCAGCGACCGATTGTTTGTTAAGGCGCGGCGCGTTGAGAAGAGAAGCGAGCGCGGATCACGCAGCATCGCTGCAATATTACTCCGTGCGGCCGTGCAGGATTATTTTCGGTGCCGGATTCTATTCGCTCACGCCCTCTTTCTCGTTTGAGCGGTCGGCCGACATGGTAAGGCTCCGCTTGAACTCACAAGCCGCCTTCCGAGCCGCATTCCGAGCCGCATTTTGAGTCGCATTCGGAGACGCGTCCTGAGGCACATTCGTGTGTTTCCTGGTCGTCCGTTCGTTTTATTCTCGTCTCCGTCTCCGTTCCAATTGGCCTTGTGACATCCAGTTTTCTGGTCGCCGTCTCCCCCCTGCCCGTTTCGCTTCTCGGATCATCCGCCTTTCCCCCATTCCTTCCCGTTCTCTCCCCCGTCTTCCCCCACCCCCGTTCCCCCTCTCCCTTCGCCCCCTCCCCTTGGCAGTCATCCAGCACTCACCTCCTCTCGTCCGCTGCGCGTTCCCCCGCGCTCTCGACCCTCTGCGGCAGAATGCGCTGCATTTGCTGCGCGCCAAGCGCGCTTTCCGCCGCCCCGCGCCTTTCCCCCTCCCTCTCCGCCGCCCCTTCCCCCTCCGCGCGGAAAACCACGCGCTCCTCCGCGCACAGCCTGCGCTCCGCCTTTCTTCCCCCCACCTTGGGATTCCCGCGCAGCCTCGGCGGCGCTAGAGTCAACTTCCCCACACTTCCCGCGGGCGCTACCGCGGGGCGCGCGCGGAGGCTGGCGGTGGAGGCGCGGGGGAAGAAGAAGGGCGCGGAGGAGGGGGGCGCGGAGCAGGAGGGGGGCAAGTACAAGGGCACGGTGTGCCTTCCGCAGACGAGCTTTGGCATGCGCGCCAACGCGAGCGTAAGGGAGCCGGAGATCCAGGCGCTGTGGGGGGAGCTCGACGTGGCAGGGAAGCTGCTGGAAAGCAACCCAGGGGTGAGTTGGGAAATACTCTTTGGTACGCCTCTCCTTGTGTGAGATGCAATGTGTGGGGTGGGGTGGGTTGAGCATGCGCGCCAACGCGAGTGTGAGGGGGTGAGGGTGAGTGAGTGAGTTGGCCACTGCTCAATTCTCCATCTGGTCCCTTCCCTTCCCTTCCCTCCCCTCCCCTGCACCGCCCGTCTCACCCCCCCCAATTCAACCCCCCGGTTCCTCTTCTCCTCTTCTTACCTTCCCTTCCCCACCTTCCTCGTCTCGTCTCTTCCCATCTTCTCACTTCCACCTCTTCTCCCCCCACTTCCCCGTCCACCATCAGGAGCCATTCACGATGCATCACGGGTCTCTCCCCCTCATTCCCTCCTCCCGAGTTCCCCTTCCTTTTATGTCCCTCCATCTTCTCTCCCCCCATTCTCTCCGCCTCCCCACCATGCACCCCACAGGAGCCGTTCACGTTGCACGATGGCCCGCCCTACGCCAATGGCGACCTGCACATCGGCCATGCGCTGAACAAGATTCTCAAGGACTTCATCAACCGCTACCAGGTGCGCCCAATCATGCTTAAAGCCTGCATCCACCGCGACCAGAAGTGTGCCCTCACTGACACTCGTCTGAAACATCGGACATGCGCTGAACAAGATTCTCAAGGACTTCATCAACCGCTACCAGGTGCGTGCACCAATGGCGACTTGCACATGGCGACCGAACAAGACATCGGCACGCTGTCGAGACTTCTTTCTTCGAATCAACTCCCATCTTACCCTCCCTTCCCGTAGGCACGTTTCCTTTCCCTAATGCCACGCCTTTTTCGCCTTTCCCTTCTCTCCTCTCACGCCGTTCCACCGTCCCATCTGCCGCCTCTCCTCACCTCTTGCCCTCCTCAGCCTCCATTCCCCGCCCCCCTGCCCCTCCCGCCCCCAGATGCTGCGCGGGCGCAAGGTGAAATTTGTGCCGGGGTGGGACTGCCATGGGCTGCCCATCGAACTCAAAGGTATGCCTCCCCGCACCCACAGCACTGTTTGCAGGGAAAAAGGGGGAGGTTGGTGGGGGTAGTGAAAGCTCCTTTGTGCCGGGGTGGGACTGCCACGGGCTGCCCATCGAACTCAAAGGTATGCCTCCCCGCACCCACAGCACTGCTTGCAGGGAAAAAGGGGGAGGTTGGTGGGGGTAGTGAAAGCTCCTTTGTGCCGGGGTGGGACTGCCATGGGCTGCCCATCGAACTCAAAGGTATGCCTCCCCGCACCCACAGCACTGCTTGCAGGGAAAAAGGGGGAGGTTGGTGGGGGTAGTGAAAGCTCCTTTGTGCCGGGGTGGGACTGCCACGGGCTGCCCATTGAACTCAAAGGTATGCCTCCCCGCACCCACAGCACTGTTTGCAGGGAAAAAGGGGGAGATTGGTGGGGGTAGTGAAAGCTCCTTTGTGCCGGGGTGGGACTGCCACGGGCTGCCCATCGAACTCAAAGGTATGCCTCCCCGCACCCACAGCACTGCTTGCAGGGAAAAAGGGGGAGGTTGGTGGGGGTAGTGAAAGCTCCTTTGTGCCGGGGTGGGACTGCCATGGGCTGCCCATCGAACTCAAAGGTATGCCTCCCCGCACCCACAGCACTGCTTGCAGGGAAAAAGGGGGAGGTTGGTGGGGGTAGTGAAAGCTCCTTTGTGCCGGGGTGGGACTGCCACGGGCTGCCCATTGAACTCAAAGGTGCGCCGTTTGTGCACTCACAGCACTGCTTGGAAGGGGGGAGAAGGGATGCAGGAGAGGTCGGGGTGGGGGGTTGGGGGTTACACTGCCAGGGTGGGACTGCCACGGGCTGACCATCGAGCTCAAAGGTACAGACAGGGGCAGTGCAATCCAGGGAAGGACTGCCACGGGCTGCCCACGGCTGCCCATTGTTGGCACTGATGAAGGTCTGATCAGGTTTTTCCCCGTGATAGGCCGAAACATGTTTGTCCCTGTTTTACTCTACTGCTAAGAATTTGGGTTCTGAGATCGTTTTGAGCACTTAGTTGTACACAGAGCGGAAATGTACTGCTGTTTTTTCCTTTGCTTTAAGCCAACTGCACGCACGCAGCTCACTGAGCTATGTCTGGATCTCATCACGCAGTGCAGTCCAGGGAAAAGCCAAGTAAGAGAAAGCCAAGGGTGGGACTGCCACGGGCTGACCATCGAGCTCAAAGGTACAGACAGGGGCAGTGCAGTCCAGGGAAAAGCCAAGTTAGAGAAAGGAATCATCACGGCCTTTTTTTTATGCCCCTTTCCTGCTTCGTGCTCATGTGGCATGCTACCTCCCCCCATCCCCCCCTGCAACGTCCCACCCGCCCTCTCCAACCTCCTCTTCCTCCCCTTCCATCTCACCCAGTGCTACAGTACAGTCAATGGACACCAAAGCACGGCAGGGCCTGACCCCCATCAAGCTGCGGATAAAAACGGCCCAGTTCGCCTTAAAGACGGCAGGCCTTCCGGCAGGGACAAGCAGCAACAGGCCTTCTGGTGTTACGGCGTGTGGGCCGACTGGGAGCACCCCTACCTCACTCTGCGACCCGCCTACGAGGCGCTCAGCTGGGTGACTTTGTTTGCCTCTATATAGCCAACCCCCCACCTTCTCACCTTCCTGCCCTACCCCCTTCCCTTCCCCTCTTGCTCTGGCAGTGCTCCAATCAATGGACACTAAATCAAGGCAGGGCCTAACGCCCATCAAGCTGTGCAAGAAGGCAGCACAGTTCGCCCTCAAAACCGTGAACAAGCAGCAGCAGGCCTTCCAGCGCTAATGCAATGTTTCCCCGCTCCTTTCCCCAGTGCTACAGTCAATGGACAGCAAGGCACGGCAGGGCAGGGATTAACGCCCATCAAGCTGTGCAAGAAGGCAGCACAGTTTGCCTTAAAGACGGTGGACAAGCAGCGGCAGGCCTTCCGGCGCTACGGCGTGTGGGCGGACTGGGAGCACCCCTGCCTCACTCTGCGGAGCGGCCCGCGCTTTACAGGACGGCTAAACTGGGCGTGTTTGCTCTATAACTTCCTTTTTCCCTCCCCTGTTCTGGCAGTGCTCCAGTCAATGGACAGCAAGGCGAGGCAGGGCCTAACGCCCATCAAGCTGCGCAAGAAGGCAGCCCAGTTCGCCCTCAAGACCGTCGACAAGCAGCGGCAGGCCTTCCGGCGCTACGGTGTGTGGGCAGACTGGGAGCACCCCTACCTCACTCTGCGGCCCGCCTACGAGGCGGCTCAGCTGGGCGTGTTCGCCCGCATGGTGCTCAACGGTCACATCTACCGCGGCAGGAAACCCGTACACTGGAGTCCCTCCTCCCGCACCGCCCTTGCTGAAGCTGAGCTTGAGGTATGAAATGGGAGTGCTGGTTGAGGTGTGAGGTTGGCTTCTTGGTGCGAGTTTTGTGAATTCGTAAAAGTCGCACCAATATATCTGAACAACGGCCATATTAACCGTCCGTAGGAGGAAGCCCGTTCACTAGAGCTGGAGCCCCACGTCAAGGACTGCTCTTGCCGAGGCTGAGCTCCAGGTATGGTGAGAGGTTTGGTATTGGGTAGGTGTGGAGTGGAGGGAGGCCTGGAAATGGATGGGTATGAGAGGCACGCAGCAGAGCTTGAGTGAACGCTGCTCTCTCATTCCCTACTCTGCTTGCTCTTTCTCATTCAGAAGCACTGATGAAGGGTATGATGAAGGGTATGCGAGATCCAGACATAGCTCAGTGAGCTGCGTGCGTGCAGGAGGCTTAAAGCAAAGGAAAAACAGCAGTAGATTCTTGCTCTGTGTACCACTAAGTGCTCAAAACGATCTCAGGGTATGATGAAGGGTATGATGAAGGGTATGATGAAGGGTATGATTTTTTAGTTTTGAGACGCACTGAATCACCCCTCAAAACTAGGTAGGATTTTTTAGAATTAAAAAAAAACATTCAGAAGCACTGATGAAGGCTTATCGGGATTCCCCCGCCCTGCCGAAACATGTTTGCTACCTGCTCTCTTTGAGTGAATACAGCTTTTGCTTTCAGAATTCTCTTAGCTAGGGTTCTAAGCTCACTTTCTTACTTGCGAAACGCTTTCAGAATTCTCTTACTTGCTCACTTGCTTACTTGCACTGCTGCGCTTCCAAAACCATGTGTGACGACCAGCAGAGCTTGAGTGAACGCTGCTTTCTCATTCCCCACCCTGCTTGCCCTTTCTCCCGCGTAACCTAACCCCTTCTCTTCCCCCCCCTTCCCCCGCCTTCCCTGCCGTCCCCCATGTCCTGAGACCAGTACCCAGACGTGCATGTCTCTCGAAGCATCTACACCACCTTCCCTCTGCGCTCCCTCGCCTCCTTCCTGCCCGCCTCCCTCACCCCCCTCCTCCCCTCGCTCGCCCTGGCCATCTGGACCACCACACCCTGGACCATCCCTGGCAACGCTGCTGTCGCTGTCAACGAGCGAATCTCCTACTCCCTTGTTGAAATCGGTCCTCCTGCCGCTGCCGCTGATGCTGACTCTGCTGCCAGTGCTGGTGCTGCTGCTGCTGCTGGTTCCGCTGCTGATGGTGATGCTGCTGCTGCTGCTGCTCCTGCTCCGACCTTTGGCAAGGGCAAGAGGAACACTGGCTCTCTCCTCTCTTCCCTCTCCTCTGTTGCACCCAGCAGTGCCGCTCCTCCCACCACGCGCCACGTCATCGTTGCCACCGACCTCATCCAATCCCTGCAGGCCACGTGGCGCTGCTCCCTCACCCCAGTCGCCACTTTCCCCGGGTCCCACCTCGAGGGCTCCACCTACCAGCACCCGCTGGACGGCAGGATTTGTCCCGTAGTGGTGGGGGGGGAATACATCACCACGGAATCCGGCACGGGATTGGTCCACACGGCGCCGGGGCACGGGCAGGAGGACTACGCTACGGGGCTTAAGTACGGTCTGGAGTTAATCTCCCCTGTGGATGATGAGGGGAGGTTTACTGCGGAGGCCAAGGGCGGGGAGTTTGAGGGGCTGAGCGTGCTGGGGGAAGGCAATGCCGCTGTGATGGCGGCTTTGAATGGGAACGGAGCACTGCTGCTGGAAGAGGCTTACGGTGAGTGGGTTGTGTAGGGGTGGAGGGAAGTGTTGGGGTCAGTGGTGTGATGGTGGGGCTGAGCCTGTTGGGCCAAGGGCGGGGAGTTTGAGGGGCTGAGTGTGCTGGGCGAGGGGAATGCGGCGGTGATGACGGCCCTCAATGGGAATGGATCGCTGCTGCTGGAAGAGGCGTATGGTGAGTGAATTCTATGGGTGGAGGGAGAGATGTGCTGAGAGGGGTTGGTTCTGCTGTGCTTTTTGAGTGTGAGTGGGTTCTAGGGAGATGGAGTATTGTGTGCAGTGCAGTGGGTGTGGTGTGAGTGGCGAGTGTGCTGGGTGAGGGGAATGCGGCGGTGATGGCGTATTTGATTGGGAACAGATCGCTGCTGCAGGAAGAGGCGTATGGTGAGTGCTGTTTTGGTGTGGATGTGCTACGTGAGTGTGAGATCGGAGCGAGTGTGAGATCGGAGCGAGTGTGAGATCGGAGCGAGTGTGAGATCGGAGCGAGTGTGAGATCGGAGCGAGTGTGAGATCGGAGCGAGTGTGAGATCGGAGCGAGTGTGAGATCGGAGCGAGTGTGAGATCGGAGCGAGTGTGAGATCGGAGCGAGTGTGAGATCGGAGCGAGTGTGAGATCGGAGCGAGTGTGAGATCGGAGCGAGTGTGAGATCGGAGCGAGTGTGAGATCGGAGCGAGTGTGAGATCGGAGCGAGTGTGAGATCGGAGCGAGTGTGAGATCGGAGCGAGTGTGAGATCGGAGCGAGTGTGAGATCGGAGCGAGTGTGAGATCGGAGCGAGTGTGAGATCGGAGCGAGTGTGAGATCGGAGCGAGTGTGAGATCGGAGCGAGTGTGAGATCGGAGCGAGTGTGAGATCGGAGCGAGTGTGAGATCGGAGCGAGTGTGAGATCGGAGCGAGTGTGAGATCGGAGCGAGTGTGAGATCGGAGCGAGTGTGAGATCGGAGCGAGTGTGAGATCGGAGCGAGTGTGAGATCGGAGCGAGTGTGTGAACGAATCTCGCCTTTCCTTTTCGTGCATCCTCAAAGCATTTGCCCTCTCTTCCCTTCATTCTCTGATCACATCCTCTGCTTCATATGCCCTCTCTTCCCTTCATTCTCTGATCACATCCTCTGCTTCATATGCCCTCTCTTCCCTTCATTCTCTGATCACATCCTCTGCTTCATATGCCCTCTCTTCCCTTCATTCTCTGATCACATCCTCTGCTTCATATGCCCTCTCTTCCCTTCATTCTCTGATCACATCCTCTGCTTCATATGCCCTCTCTTCCCTTCATTCTCTGATCACATCCTCTGCTTCATATGCCCTCTCTTCCCTTCATTCTCTGATCACATCCTCTGCTTCATATGCCCTCTCTTCCCTTCATTCTCTGATCACATCCTCTGCTTCATATGCCCTCTCTTCCCTTCATTCTCTGATCACATCCTCTGCTTCATATGCCCTCTCTTCCCTTCATTCTCTGATCACATCCTCTGCTTCATATGCCCTCTCTTCCCTTCATTCTCTGATCACATCCTCCCCTCGACTCTTCCCCCTCTTTCACAGAGCACAAGTACCCCTATGACTGGCGCAGCAAGCAGCCAACAATCTTTCGAGCCACGGACCAGTGGTTCGCCTCTGTCAATGGCTTTAAGGAGGAGGCACTAGAGGCCATCCGAGGGGTGCAGTGGTTTCCCCCCCAGGTAAGTCCCACGCGTGTGGGCACTTCTGGTGCAGGCAGTTCTGGTGCAGGCAGTTCTGGTGCAGGCAGTTCTGGAGCAGGCAGTTCTGGTGCAGGCAGTTCTGGTGCAGGCAGTTCTGGTGCAGGCAGTTCTGGTGCAGGCAGTTCTGGTGCAGGCAGTTCTGGTGCAGGCAGTTCTGGTGCAGGCAGTTCTGGTGAAGGTGCAGGTGCAGGTGAAGGTGAAGGTGAAGGTGAAGGTGAAGGTGAAGGTGAAGGTGAAGGCAGGTTCTGCAATTGTTTCTTCACTTCTTGGCAGTCACCATCTTTTGAGCCATGGTTTGCCTTGGGCTTGGCCAATGGCTAGTCACTTACTCCTTCCCTCCAGGCATGTCACATACTTCACGCTCCCCCACCAACCCGTCACACTCCTATCCCACCTCCATCCCACCCCCATCCCTCCCCATTCCACCACATTGCATCCCATGCAACCCTTGAATCCCATTTCAACCCATCCCCTCAGGGCGAGAAGCGCATAACAGCCACCCCATCCAACCCCATTTCCACCCTTGCTGCTCACTACGTCCCTCCCCACCCCTCAGGGTGAGAAGCGCATAACAGCCATGGTGGAGGGGCGCTCTGACTGGTGCATCTCACGGCAGCGTTCCTGGGGTGTGCCCATCCCCGCCTTCTATCATATTGAGACCGGCGAGCCGCTGCTCACTCAAGAGACCATAGCTCATGTTCAAGCCATTGTGGCAGGTTAGTTGGTGTTTGTACAGTGAACAGAGGGAGAAAGCCTTAGCTGCATCTCACAGCAGCATTCCTGGGGTGTGCCCATCCCCCCCTTCTACCACATTGAGACCGGCGAGCCGCTGCTCACTCAAGAGACCATTGCTCATGTTCAAGCCATTGTGGCAGGTTAGTTGGTGGTTGTACAGTGAACAGAGGGAGAAAGCCTTAGCTGCATCTCACGGCAGCATTCCTGGGGTGTGCCCATCCCCGCCTTCTACCACATTGAGACCGGCGAGCCACTGCTCACCCAGGAGACCATCGCCCACGTCAGGCGATTGTGGCAGGTGAGCTGGTGGATGCACAGTGCACATGAGGGAGAAAGAATGAGGTGCATTGACAGGGGTGCATGGGGCGTGCCCATCCCCGCCTTCTACCACGTTGAGACAGACGAGCCACTTCTTAGCCAGGAGGCCATCGCTCACGTGCGGGCCATTGTGGCAGGTTGGTTGGTTGGTGGGTGCATGTGACTGAGAAAGCCTGAGATGCAACTCACGCCAGCATGCGTGCATGGGGCGTGCCCATCCCGGCCTTCTACCATGTCGAGACCGGCGAGCCACTTCTCACCCAGGAGACCATCGCTCATGTGCAGGCGATTGTGGCAGGTGAGCCGTGTGCAGCAGGCGTGGTGTGGCAGGTGAGGGAGTCGAAGAGAATGTGTAGGTGGCAGTGTCAAGCGTGCATGGGGTGGGTGGGGTGTGCCCATCCAGCTTTCTACCACGTGGGTGGATACGGCCGAGTCACTTCTCACCCTGGAGACCATCGCTCATGTGCAGTAGTAAAATGTGTCCCGTGTTTAAAACCGAGAAACAAGTGAATTCGAACTCTTTCGAGTGTTGAGGTGTGGTTGGAGGCGGGATCCGAGATCAATCTTCGAGAGCTGGTGGATCGTGTGCTGGCTGTGTGTGCATCAGCGTGGAGCAGCTGCAGGCGAGCACGGGTTTTAGGATTGCCAGTGCGGTGAGCAGCGGTGGAGGCGTGCAGCAGCAAAGGCAAGGGAGTGGGTGGGCAGTGCGACGATGTCGATGCTGTTGATGGCGATGCCTGCTGCCTGCATGCTCTCACACAGCTGCCTGATGCATGCGTGCGAAGAGACACACACAGCCACCACACGATCCACCAGCTCTCGAAGACTGATCTCGGATCCCGCCTCCAACCACACCTCAACACTTGAAAGAATTCGAATTCACTTGTTATCAGTTGTAAATGGGGTACACATTTTACTACTGCCAATTTCTTGCCAAATAGTCTCTCCACACTGCAGCTCGCCTAAACGTTTCTAGAGATGGACGTGGCGGACCTGCTGGCCCCCTTGCTGCCTCAGCCTTGTCCTGCCTCAGCCTCACTCTTTGTGTCTCACTCACACAAACCCCCCTCTCTTTATCTCCGCCCAGGCCCCACAGAGAAGGGCAGCGACGCGTGGTGGGAGATGGAGGTAGCAGACCTGCTGCCCCCCTCGCTGACACGGCCTTGCCCTGTCTGCCACTCCCTGTGGCGTTGTGACACGCGTCATCCCCTCATGGTCCCATGGCTCCCCCTCCCCCCTCCTCCGACAGAGAAGGGCAGTGACGCGTGGTGGGAGACGGAGGTGGCAGACCTGTTGCCCCCCTTGAGCTTTGAGATGGCATAAACGCACCTCCACCCCGCCCTTGCGCCCCCCCCTTTTCCCCTCCGACCCTCTGGCCACACAGAGAAGGGCAGTGACGCGTGGTGGGAGATGGAGGTGGCAGACCTGCTGCCCCCCTCGCTGCGCGACCAGGCGCCGCAGTACCGCAAGGGCTCTGATACCATGGACGTCTGGTTTGACTCCGGCTCCTCCTGGGCCTCCGTCCTCGCCTCCTCGCCCTCGCCCTCGCCCTCCACCTCTGCCTCTGCCTCTGGCTCTGATACCAATGGAGCTGCTTCAAGCAGCAGCTCTGATTCAGGGCTCAACTTCCCAGCGGATCTGTATCTGGAGGGCAGCGACCAGCACCGCGGGTGGTTCCAGAGCTCGCTGCTGACAGGCGTGGCCGCAGCCGGCACGGCGCCGTACCGGGCTGTGCTGACCCACGGGTTTGTGCTGGACGAGAGGGGCATGAAGATGAGCAAGTCGGTTGGGAACGTGGTGGATCCCTTGACTGTTATCAATGGAGGGAAGAATCAAAAGGTGAGCGTCAGACTGTGTGTCTGTGGGTGTGTCTCTGGTACCGTGGTGTGCTGACTCACGGGTTTGTGCTGGACGAGAGGGGCATGAAGATGAGCAAGTCTGTGGGGAATGTGGTGGACCGTTTGACAGTCATCAATGGGGGGAAGAACCAGAAGGTGGGTATCTGTCCGTGTGTGTGCTGTTGTGGAAAGATGCTTCGGGTTCAGGTGTCTCTGGTACAGGGCGGGCGGTGCTGATTCAGTCACGGGTTTGTGCTGGACGAGAGGGTCATGAAGATGAGCAAGTCCGTGGGGAACGTGGTGGACCCTCTTACAGTCATAAATGGAGGGAAGAACTAGAAGGTGAGTGCCTGGGGGGTGTAAGATATTTTGAAGGTGTGGGTGTGTGTGTGCTGACGGTGAACGCGCTGCAGCCATGGGTGGGTGGGTGTGTGTGTGCTGGGTGGCATCACTGGACTACAGTTGTGACATGATGACCGGGACATCCATCCGTCCCCATGCCATGCCCCACACTGCTTATCTGCCATGCCCTTTCCCACCCTGCTCTCACTCCTTGCCATGCCGCAGACTGAGCCAGCGTACAGGGCAGATGTGCTGAGGCTGTGGGTGGCGTCGGTGGACTACAGTGGCGACGTGGTGATTGGACCAACTGTGTTCATGCCATGCCCAATGCTGCTCTCACTGTTTCCCATTCCCACTGTGCTCTCTTCTTTCCAGACCGAGCCAGCGTATGGTGCAGACGTGCTGAGGCTGCCGGTGGCATTGGTGGACTACAGTGGCGATGTGGTGACCGGGTCGTCCATTCCCTTGCTACACCCATATCACACCCATCCCTGTGCCTCACGCTGCGTGCGTTCACACTGCATATCCATGCCGCAGACCGAGCCAGCGTACGGGGCGGACGTGTTGCGGCTGTGGGTGGCATCGGTGGACTACAGTGGCGACGTGGTGATCGGGCCGACCATCGTGAAGCAGATGAGCGACGTGTACCGCAAGCTGCGAGGCACCCTGCGCTTCCTTCTCGGCAACCTGCATGATTACGAGGTATGATTACTGGGTGCACTGGGTTTGGCTCGAGTTGACTGGTTTGACTCGGGGTGACTGGTTTTGACTGCTTGGCAACCTGCATGACTACCAGGTCAGCGCATTGGGTGCATGCATGGGTTGTATGGGGCTACACTGCACTTGCACTGGGCTGATCTCGGTAGCCTGGGTTCACTTTATCGCCTGCACCCCCTGCCAGTATACTCCTCTGTCCACCCCCCGCCATCTTCCTCTACCACCCTAGCAACTCGTCACCACAATGACTTCTGTGTTCCATTCCATTCTTGAATGTCCCCCTCGCTCCCCCCCTTGCTTCTCGCCCCACCCCCCATCAGCCCTCCGAGGCAGTCCCATACGCCAGCCTGCCTGCTCTCGACCGCTATGCACTGCGCCGCCTGGCAGATGTGATGCAAGATGTGCAGCAGAGCTACGACGACTTCCAGTTCTACCGCTTCTACCAGGTAACTTCCTCAAGTATCCGTATTCCTACAAATGTACATTGAACTTATGGAAAACCAAATATATATTCATATATACTAGAAAAACAAAAAGCAAAAAAAAACAAACAAACAATAACAATAACAGTAACAAGAACATTAACAAAAAACAAAAACAAAAACCCTCCAACTTCTAACTTACCCTCTCTACCTCCCCTGCCCTCTCTGCCCTCTCTGCTTTTGCTACACGGTCTGCTCTCTCTCTCCGCACCCTCTGCAGTTGATACAGCGATTCGCGGTGGTGGACCTTTCCAACTTCTATTTCGATGTCTGCAAGGACAGGCTCTATGTGGGGTGGGTGCTGGGTGGTGTGGGCCCCCTTGTTCAATGCGCCTTGTCCTAAACCTGGGCCTAAACATGAGACTGCTTTGCGGTGGTGGATCCCTCCAACTTCTACTTCGATGTCTGCAAGGACCGGCTCTATGAGGGGTGGGCGCCACCTGGGGTGGGCGCCATGTGGGGTGGGTGCTGTGTGGGGTGGGCGTTGTGGGGGGTGGGTGGCGTCCAGGGTGGGGGCTGGGTGTTGTCAACCTATTGCAATGGTAAGTCCACAGTCCACCTAACATGCAGAATGCACGGTCCTCATGCTCCATAATGCACTTGGGAGAATTCTCATAAGAGACTCCTTGTTCTCCATTGGTTCCTTCTCTTCTCCCTGCCTGCTGCTCTCTTGACACCAGTGCTTGACCTCACTTCCACCCCCTTCCTGGCAGCCATCGCCCCCGTGCTGCCCCACATGGCTCACCTCCCTTCCACCCTCTCTTCTCACCTGCTTGTCCCTCTTTCCCTTTCTCGTCCCTTGCCATGCCACCCCCCAGAGGTCAGGACTACCTGACAAGGAGGGCGTGCCAGACAGTCCTAGCGCACCACCTGACCGCCTTCCTGGCAGCCATTGCCCCCGTGCTGCCCCACATGGCTGAGGACGCCTCGCAGAACCACCTGTCCTAGCAAACCACCTTACCGCCTTTCCCTCTGCCTTTCTCACTCTACCTGCTTTCCACCCTTTTCTCCATCTCTCCACCACCCCCATGCTCTCCCCTTTTCCTCACCTCCCCCAGTGGTCAAGATTACCTTACCAGGCGGGCGTGCCAGACGGTGCTAGCACACCACCTCACCGCCTTCCTAGCAGCCATCGCCCCCGTGCTACCCCACATGGCTGAGGACGCCTGGCAGAACCTTCCCAGCAACTTCCCCCGGCCCGTTCCCTCCGTCTTCCAAATGCCGTGGCCCAAGCCGGAAGCTGATTGGCTGTCGTTCGGGGAAGCTGAGCTGGTTACATGGGGCACGCTCATTGAGGTACTGCAGTCTGCTTGCTTTTCTATTGGGAGTTTGAGGCGCACTCATTTGAAGCACATCCGTTTGAGGCACACTAGCTTGAAGAAGGTGATGGAGCAGGCGCGCATGGGCAAGCTCATACAGCCTTTTGCGTCACCTTTTCCTTGTGCTTCTTTCCATCTCTTCGCCTTCTTGTCCTCCCATCCCCGAGCTGCTATCGGAGGTGAACAAGGTGATGGAGCGAGCACGCATGGGCAAGCTCATCGGCGCCAACCTCGATGCCGCAGTCTACCTGCACACGCCCACCCCCTCCCTCTCCTCCCTTTCCCTCTGCTGCCTTGCCTGCTCTTCTCTTTGCCTGCACCCCCCCCCACACACACCAGCTGCGATCGGAGGTGAACAAGGTGATGGAGCGAGCACGCATGGGCAAGCTGATCGGAGCCAACCTCGACGCAGCAGTCTACCTGCACACGCCCAGCCCCTCCCTCTCCTCCGCCCTGCTAGCCCTCTCCGACTCCTCTGCTTCCAGTAGTGCCGCAGCAGCCACTGACGACTCAGCAGCAGCAGAGGAGGGGAGGGAAGGGAGCGGGCAGAAGGGGATGAAGGAGCTGCAAGCAGTGGACAGCCTTCGGACGGTCTTCCTCTCCTCTCAAGTGCACGTGCTTCCCTCTGAGGCGGATCTTGCCTCGCTCGGCCTCGAGTTCTCATCTGATGTGGAGGTGCAGTGGAACGGGGAGGCCGCACGCGTGCTGGTGGCGGTGGGGAGGGCTGCGGGCGGCAAGTGCGAGCGCTGCTGGAACTTCTCGCAGGCGGTGGGGTCGCTTGCAGGGCACCCTACTCTGTGTGCTCGGTGCCACTCCGTTGTGGCTGATCTGGTTGTCATGGCGTGAGTGTGCTGCTGCTGCGCTGGTGGTGGTTGGGAGGACGGCGGGCGGCAAGTGAGAGCGCTGTTAGAAATCCTCGCGGTGGGGTCGTTTGCAGGGCACTGAGTCACTGACGCTTTGCGGGACATGATGGCATGACTGTGCTGTATTGATAATACCAAAGTTGATTCTGAAAGTTGTGTAGTTTGACTGCACAGATTTACGAAAGAAAATGCGGTACTTGATGCTACCAAGCGCAATGAATGTTATCAGCATTTCAGATTGTGACTGAAATCTGTCAATTGGTGCCGAGCTGATCCAACTTGTGGAAACATTAGAAAGTGGCACATATAAAAAGCAGCAGTGTGTTTCTGGTAGAATGCAAATATTGAAGTATTCTTCTCTTCATCGCTAAACCTTTTTTTTTTTGTTTTTTTTGTGGATATAAGTATACTACATGCATACATACATCCTCAGTCGTAACTGGAGCTAGGAGGGTGTAGAAAACTACCATTGTAGCCCCACCCCCCTTACCGTATGGCCCCGGATATAGGCGCCGTCTGATTAAAGGCGCCGGCGCCTCTATCTGGAGCATGGCGCTTATGGCCGGAACTCGATTATAAGCGCACCCCCTGAAAATTCTATCCTTATTATAAGCGCATCCCTTAACCTTTCATTGGAGGCATTACAAAAGATTTTACTAAATTGTCACTTTTTCTAAGCAACATCAAATTAAGCTAGATCTCCTAACAACAAGTTTAGCCGGGGTACTTCTACCTACGGTAACATGGATCATACAGTACCCCTCCTACTCCTCCTCGTCAGATTCGGGCTCCTGGCAGTTGTTGCCAAAAAAAACATCAGCGATGATGTCATCGTCGACATCCACTTCAGCTGTCAGCTGGCTCCGCCTGTGCGCCATGGCGAGTCCGTCCTCACTGCCGTCAAGCTGGTTGCTGATGCCACAGGTGAGGAAGGCATGCTTGATGAGGTCGGCCGGCACTGCCTTCCAGGCTTGTGATACCCACCGCAGGACGACCTCTGGTGAAGGCTTCTTCAGGTTCCTTGAAACATTACGGGAGAACGGTGGAAAGCAGTTAGTGCAACAACAAAGAATTCGGGGGGGGGGGGGGGGGGGGGGGGGGGAGGAATACCGTACTCATGCCATACCTGATGCCGTCAGCTGCTCTTGCCCCTCTGCCTCAAACCACCTCTGGTACTGCTGGCGGACCGACGCCTTAAAGCTCTTGTTGATGCAGACATCGAGCGGCTGTACCTCCGCCGTACAGCCCGACGGGATGATCGCCGGCACGCGTTCTGTCAGAGTTATATGACATAGCTACTGTAGGCTATAGTGGGGTAGCACATATGGGGTACAGTTGCCTAGGGTTTGCCTTTTGTACCCAACTTTCACTTAGTCATTCTCATTCCTGTTTTCTTGATTCACATGGTATAGAGCGGGTTCCTACATGGGACCGTTCCTTCCTAAGGGCCCACCATAAGAATTTTTTTTTAGCTGCCCGCGCACATTGCGCCCTGCCCTAAAATTTTTTTTAGCGGCCCCTACGCTGCCCCTACGCGGCCCCTACGCCGCCTCCCACGCGCCCCCTATGCGGCCCCTGGCGGCGCCCTGACGAGGCCCCTGCCGGCGCCCTATCGCGGCCCCTGGTGGCGCCCTGACGCGGCCCTGACGCGGCCTGACGCGGCCCCTGGCGGCGCCCTGACGCGGCCCTGCCGCGGCCCCTGACGCGGCCCTGACGCGGCCTGCCGCAGCCCCTGCCGCGGCCCTGAAGCGGCCCCTGACGCGGCCCTGACGCGGCTCTGCCGCGGCCCTGACGCGGCCCTGACGCGGCCCTGCCGCGGCCCCTGGCGGCGCCCTGACGCGGCCCCTGACGCGGCGCCCTGACGCGGCCCCTGCTGCGGCCCTGACGCGGCCCTGCCGCGGCCCCTGACGCGGCCCTGCCGCGGCCCCTGACGCGGCCCTGCCGCGGCCCCTGGCGGCGCCCTGACGCGGCCCCTGACGCGGCGCCCTGACGCGGCCCCTGCTGCGGCCCTGACGCGGCCCTGCCGCGGCCCCTGACGCGGCCCTGACGCGGCCTGCTACGGCCCCTGCCGCGGCCCTGAAGCGGCCCCTGACGCGGCCCTGACGCGGCCCTGCCGCGGCCCCTGACGCGGCCCCTGCCGCGGCCCCTGACGCGGCCCCTGACGCGGCCCCTGTCGCGGCCCTTGACGCGGCCCCGCCACCTACCTTTCCGGCCACGCCGCCTCCTCTCAGCGGCCCCGCCGCCTCCTCCCAGCGGCCCCGGACGCCGCCCTCTCAGCGGCCCCGCCGAGCCGCCCAGCAGCCTAGCCGCCCAGCAGCTGAGCCACCGAGCCGCCCAGCAGCCGAGCCGCCGAGCCGCCCAGCAGCCGAGCCGCCCAGCAGCAGAGCCGCCGAGCCGCCCAGCAGCCGAGCCGCTGAGCCGCCCAGCCGCCGAGCCGCCCAGCAGCCGAGCCGCCCAGCAGCCGAGTCGCCGAGCCGCCCTGCAGCCGAGCCGCCCGAGCCGCCCTGTCCGGTAAGAGCAGCGCCTCTCTCACAGCACTGCCCTCACCCCACTGTTTGCGCTGCTAGTCTACTGCTGTCATGGCTACCCCTAGTGTCCTCGCTTTTGACGCTGAGGGTCGGGCCATTGACTTTGACGTCTGGATAGATGACCTGCAGCTTTTCTTACAGTGCGATAGGGCAGACGGCCTCTCCCTCTTTGACCTCACTTCTGGTGCCTCTCCTGCCCCCGCCACTGATGCTGACGCAACTGTTCGCTCCCAGTGGGCCACGCGCGATGCTGCTGCACGTCTTGCTGTGCGTCGCCACCTGCCTACCTCTGAGCGTGCGCACTTTAGCCAGTACAAGAGTGCTCAGACCTTGTACGACGCTGTAGTTGCACGCTACTCCTCCCCTGCCACTGCTGCACTGAGTCGCCTCATGCTACCGTACCTCTTCCCTGACCTTGCTGCCTTTCCCACAGTCGCTGACCTCATTACGCACCTACGCACTAGTGACACTCGCTACCGCGCTGCGCTTCCGGCTGAGTTCTGCGCCAAGAACCCCCCCCCCATGTACATCACCCTCTACTACATAGTCACCCGGCTCCCTGACTCCCTTCGCGTAGTCAGGGACCACTTCCTCTCAGTTTGCCCCACCACTCTCACCGTTGACCTCCTCGAGAAGTCCCTCCTAGCAGCAGAGAAGAGCATAGTAGCTGTAGGAGCCTCTCGTGGTGACCCTCGCACCCCCATCTTTGAGGGGTGTTCCCCCTCCCCCCTTTTGCCCTCTGTTGCCTCTGCTGCTGCGGCCGACCTCGTTGGGCTTGAGTCGGTCGGTGCGGCGTCTACCCCTAGCGGGAGACGCCGCCCTGGCAAGGGCAAGGGGGGCAGGGGCGCTGGAGGAGCTAGCGGGGGCGGTGGAGGCGGCAGTGGAGGCGGTGGAGGAGGTGGGGGTGGCGGTGGGGGTGGTGGCGGGGGTGGAGGTGTCGGTGGCGGCAGTGGAGGCGGAGGCGGCAGCGGCAGTGGCGGAGGGAGCGGAGGTGGCGGCGGTGGAGGAGGAGGCGGCGGAGGAGGTGGAGCTGGTCGGGGTGGCGCTGCGCAGAGGGTCGGCTCCGGTGGTGGTCAGCGCCAGCAGCAGCAGCAGCACCAGCAGCGCACTCGTGACATCCCCTCCCCTCAGCAGCTCCGTGAGTGGTACACTGCACGCCAGAGGGGTGGGGGTACTGGTCCGTGCACCTACGTCCTCCGCACCGGCGACCGCGCGGGTGAGCAGTGCGGGGGTGCGCACTCCACCCAGCGCTGCTTTGGCCGCCTGACGGACGCTTGGCGTCACCAGTTCCCTGAGGCCACTGAGATCCCCCGCTGGGGTGAGCTGTCTAGGGCGGGTGTGGCTGTCTTTGACCTTGACTTTGATGCTATTCTTGCTGCCATGTATACTGTGACTATTAGTGATGAGGGTGACTGTTACCGGTGTTTTCCGCCCGACCCGGGCATTGAGACTGCTGCTCTAGGTACTGGTGAGGCTGCTGCTCTAGGTGCTAGCGAGGCTGCTGCTCTAGGTGCGTCTGCTCCCTCAGGTGCTGGTGAGTCTGCTCTCTCAGGTTCTGCGTCGGCTTCGGCCTCCCACACCTTCACCCTTGACTCGGGGGCTTCTCGCTCCTTCTTTCGAGACCGCACCACACTCACGCCGCTTAGCCGGCCAGTTGCAGTCTCTCTGGCAGACCCCTCTGGGGGTCCTGTCCTTGCTCACTTCTCCACTGTCCTCCCGTGTCCGGCGGCCCCCTCTGGCACCCTGTCTGGTCTTTACCTTCCCTCGTTCTCTACGAACTTGGTGAGTGGTGCTGACCTACAGGATGCGGGGGTTCACCAGTTCACTCCTGCGAGTCGGCGGGTGACCCACTGCACGGACGCTCGGACAGGCCGACACCTGGCCACGTTTACCCGTCGGCCGGGGTCGAGCCTGTACACCCTGACCACTGCGTCTCCTCCAGTCACTGCGTCTGGTCAGGTAGCTGCGTCGGGTCAGGTGTTTGCTGCAGCGTCCAGGTCTGGTCCTGAGTCTGCCCCCTGTTCGTGTCGCCTCCTGTCTCACGAGACTCTCCTCTGGCACCACCGCCTTGGTCACCCCTCCCTGCTTCGTCTCCGAAGCATGGCCTCCCGTGTCCTTGTCTCTGGTCTTCCCCGGTCCCTCCCTCCCCTTCCTCCGGGGCCTGGCCCTACCTGCGTCCCCTGTGTCGAGGGGCGGCAGCGGGCTGCCCCTCACTCCTCCCAGTTTCCTCCGACAGAGGCCCCGCTGCAGACGCTTCACATGGACGTGTGGGGCCCGGCCCGCGTCCGTGGACAGGGTCACGAGCGCTACTTCCTGCTGGTGGTTGACGACTACTCGCGTTACACCACAGTCTTCCCCTTGCGCAGCAAGGGTGATGTCACTGAGGTGTTGATCGACTGGATCCGCGCAGCTCGTCTCCAGCTCAGGCAGAGCTTCGGCTCGGACTTTCCTGTTC